CCCTTAAGCTAAGCTATAATCACTTTCATTCTTTTATCTTTTTGCTGTGATTGGATGAGTTTCATTGACCTATCCTCAAGTTCACTGATCCTTTCTGTTCATTTAGTCTGTTATTGAACCTTTCTATTGTATTTTCCAGTTCAGAAACTATAGTCTTCAAGTCTGTGATTTGTTTGGTACTTTTTTCACTTTGTTCATGAATTATTTTTATGACCATTATTGTAAACTATCACATAAATCACTTAATGGAGATCAAGCAAAATCTCCATTTTGTTAAGATCTTTTTGTGAGGTTTTATCTCTTTTTTTGTTTGGAACATATTACTGTGTCTTCATTTTCATTGACTCTGTTTTGGTTGCTATGCATTAGCTAAAAGAGCCACCTCTCCCAGTCTTGAAGGAGTGGCCTCATGTAGGAAAAGAGCCTAATTATTCAACACTGCCCTGGCTCTACCATCTTTGTTTTTAGTGGCTCCCAGTAGTTGAGGGTATGCCAAGACCTGTCAGTATCCCACAGTGGGGAATGTCACTCGGAACCTAGATGCTAGCCTCTGGAGAGTGTTGCAGTTGGCCCATAAGTATGTGTTAAATTAGAAGCCTGTCCCTCAGGCCAAAGCTTTTAAGATAGCAGGCCTTTTGCACAGAGAGACTGGGTGCATTTCAGTCTGCTGCCTCTGTGCTGGGACATGGGGGATTAGCCACAGTGGGTCCATGTGATCTTATTTTGGACTGTTTTCTTGTTTGCTATGTCCTTATAGGTCTCGTGGATACAAGTCTCATTGCCTATTAAAGCTAGAGGTTTTGGAGGCCCATCTCTAGTGTGGAAGTCTTAAAAGTGAGGGCACCAAACGTGGGTCCAAACCCTTCACTCCTCAGGGAAAAGCTGGGAGTTGTTAGTTGCCTCCTGGTTGTGTGTCATCATGCTGGGAATGGAATTTAATGTCAAGATTTTCTCACCCTCTCCTACCCAGTTTGACGTGGGTTTTTTCTTATTCACCTGATGTGCAGGAATCAGTTTCTTTCAGACGACTTGTTCCATATGTAGCTGTACATTCACTGTGTCTGTGGGAAGAGACATGCCTATCAGTAGGATAGACATGGCTTAGCAGAGTCTTCTGTTCAGGGTCTCACAAGGCTGCTCATGTAAGGCTCAGTGTCTTTGTCCAGACTGTTTGTTGGTGGGATTCCATCCTTTACCTTCAGAGTACCGAGGCCTTCAGATCCTACAAGCAGCCCTCAGTTTTTATGCTTTCAGTCCAGCATTAAAGAGTCTCTTCCGAGCCTGTGAAGTTCAAGGGTTTACATGGGAGTTTATAAGCAGATTTAGGGAGCAATACTCTTTTCAGGATATTCTCCCTCACATTTCAGTAGTTCTGGCAAGCCCAAACTCTGTTCTCTTAACTCTACAAGCTAGTAAGACAATGACTTTACGGTTGTCTCATGGACTTAACCTCAGGTGCAAAGGCATATAAAGATGAATTTTACCCAGTTGCCTTCTTCTTTCAAGAGTTGGCATCTTTCCAATTTCTACCAGCTTTTGGTTGGTTGCTCTCCAGTGCCTTTGAATAGTCTGTCCCAGGTTTGTAACTATTATCTGCAAAAAGATAATCTGCAATTCTGCCAAAGTAGGATGTTGCTTATGTTTTTAATAATCCTACATAGACTCTCTCCAGACACTATCCATGGATTAAAGCAGAGCCTTAGACCATGGTTCATAAATACTTGCAGATATGCTTTAGTAAGTTATGATTATGCACCATCTTTTGAAAAAGTCACTATAAATGTCTTATACAATAAATATTGGTTGAAACAGCAACTTCATGGACTCCTTTTAGACAAGGAACCATTAACAACTATTTCGTTTCAGGAAAATCTTCACAGATTGCTGAGCACTTTCCTTGCATTTCCCCACTCTTCTAAGTGGCTGTTATTAGCACCCTCACTTTGTAATAACAGTTCGACAGCTTGCATGTACAATTTTTAGTCAAGGCCAAGATTTAAACTCAATACGGATTATAGACCAGAGGCTTCTAACTTGAATATGGTCATCTTGCTCCACATTCCAGAAATGAGCAAAAACTTCTTTGGTATAGCTTTATTACTACATACCACAGTTACCTGAAATGCTTCTAAAGACATGTGGGGTTTTTTATCTTTTCTAGATATAATGTTCCTGAAAAGATAGCATTTTTCTACAGGAGGCTGTGTGGTTGCTGGATACAGAAAAAAGAAAGACTCTCCAGGTCACAGACATTGTACAATTGCCATTGTACAGTGGCAAAACAGTGACATATAACCTTGATGTTTATCATAGTTCCTCTTCAAAGTCTTACATATTCTATGCTCTGCACTGTTAATAGTAACCTATGACATAACTGTAAATATTCAACTTTTTGATAACTTTTATATTTTGAAATATTTCCTTTAAAATAAAATTGTTGACTAGATATTTGTAAGGTTTTCCTGGATTAAAGGGAGAAAGGAAGACAGCTTTGCAGAACATCATGAAGTGTGGGCAGCACAGATATTAACAGTTAAAAGTTGGAACTAAGTTAAGCCTATTTAGCAGAATCAGTCTTACAATAAAAACACCAATTTAAAAGAATCAAACTATAAACCATAAGCTTTTATCTCCTGAGTCGTCATACCACATACTGTAGAATTCCTTTCACAAAATTAAATCACTGGACTTCTCCTGAAGATATATTCAAAATCTTCCCCGTTATCACACACACCCCGTATTTTTCCTACAACAGTATATCCTTCTTTGCCACCCAAGGCTAATGTCACCAAAGTCTAAGCAGCTGGCAGAAATGAGTCATGTAGCCTCACTTTGTCTCAGATGATAGGATTTTATAGTATAGGCGCCAGCATCCTGAGCATTACAAAGGTACCCAGTGGCACCTATGAGCCTATGGTAGACCCCATAGGGGGGTCAGTGATGTTTTATTGCATCCAAGTATCCACATGCATGATGCCTCCAACGTTTTGATCTGTTCTTGCTCCCACAAAGGCTGGCCAGAGAATGGGCCAAGTAAAGCCGATGTTTTACTAAGTGATACAAGTTATTATCATTAAACCCACTATCATCCCCTTGTTTTCCCATTATCACTGGAAGGATGTTGTAAAGTTAGTTAGAAGAATAAGAGCCATAGGCACCTGGGATCTGTGAGAGTAAAGCACATTATATTTGGGGAGTTATGAGCCTTAAACATTCACTAATAAGCATAATTACACCAGAACTTATTCAGGAAGACACTACTCCTCGTACATAAATCACTGTTCCTTGTTAATAACTTCAAGAGGCCGAATAATGGACTGCCAAAACTTAACAGGATGAAGGATAAAGCACAGTAGTTTGTTATAGCTTCCAAAATGGCCAAGCCTCAATGGATCTCAAAAGCAGCATGCAGTTTGCTGCAAAGATGTGTGGCATCAAGTAGCTCCAGCAGATCCATGTTGCCATCTCATATTTTAAAGAGCGTATTTACCATCTCTAATTCTAAAAAAAAAAGTAATCTTATACACTGATTATGCCAGTCATAGAGCACTTAGAATTAATAACAAAATCATAATAAACAAGGGAAGGACACTATTCATTTTTCTGGCTGCAAGTAGAATATACTCCCTTTCCTGGGGAGGAAAGAACAAGTAGGCAGACAAAAAGCACTAGAAATGGAAGAATATGCGTAAGAAAGCCATGCTCACCCCACAGGTAAGGTGAGGCAGTCGTCAATCAAGGATATCTTCACTGAAGCGCAAATTTCAAGCTGGGCTTTAACAAAGAGAGGAGCAAGGCTTAAGGCAATGTTTTATTCCCATAATGAATTTAGTCTGCATGAAAAACATTTTTAAATACACTTTAAATGTCTCAAGAACTTTGTTTCACCTCCCAAACAGACTGTCAATTACTTAAAGGGAGGAAATAGTATCCTAATTTTATAATTCTCTTAGCACATACCTCTGAGCACTTACTGACAAAATTTTTTAAATGACAAAATTTAGACAACTAAATTCCAGGCTAGTTCCACAGCCTCAGAGCTCCTCAACAAATACAGTTACAGGTACAATCTAAAACTCTAGTCCAGTCTGTGGAGTCTGTCATAGGGCAGAACCAGATCTCCCAGAGACAAAGTAAACAAAAATCAGGGTTCATTTTGTCCCAAGCCAGAGTGAGATTAACTTAGACCCTACTGGTTTGAACCTGATGAGTTGAGACTCTAGAAGGATAAAAATGTGGCAATCCTTTTGCAGCCCCCCATATCTTCCAGTAATACCAAAGAGGCCTCCCCATGACATGCTATTCACAAACAGAGAGATGGCTGGCACTTAAAGAGGTAATCAAGTTGGGAAGTAATTGCCAAAGTTCTATTTCACATAGCTGGTTAGTGAGAAATATAGTTAGCTTCTTACCCAATGATTTGCAAACTAATAAAGTAATATACCAACATACTATTTTACTGTACACAATGACATTCTTAAGAATTTGTACATGTATCAGGTGGAACATTTTTATTTCTCAATTATATTCTGTAAGATATTTGACAATGTACAAAGAATACCCAGTTCTAGGTGGTGACTGTTTTGTATTACGATTTATTTACAAAATTTCACCACATAATAGTAACTACCTTTTTAAAAAAAAATCAGCATTGGTCCTATAAAGGCCATTAGGATAAATTCTTAAGCCTACAAAAGTTGCCTTAGTACCAATGTTTCCAGGCATATTATTGTTAACTAAAATCTGACTCCAAAGCCCACATATAGTTGACAGGGGACAGTGGAGGACCCAAGCAGTCCTATCAACCTCTATAAGAGGTGTATGTTAGCCTACTGGTTACATCCTTCTAGCAGTACCACCATTTATTTGTAATGGGACCACCAAGTTGCCCCATTATGCTAAAATATGGTTCCTTTGGGGAAAAAACAAGGCATTCTCTAGACAAGCTAGACTGGTCAACAGGGTGAGTAAAAAGTGGCTGTCAGTAGTGAAAAACAGTTTCATTTCTTTGAACTTTTTCCTTTTCCTTTTCTGGACTCCTTATCTTTTTCTGATTTTGAAGGCTTTGAAGATTTTGTCTTTTTCTGTTGGGAGGGAAGAATGCACAAAATAGTTAATAGCTGTATTCATGAGGAAATGAAATACGTTAATTTCTACAATAAAGCAAATCTTTACCTGCAACTTAGTAAGAAGAAAGAGTGTAAACATCTTCCATTACTGCTACCCCTGACGAGCTTACTTCCAAGAAATGGCTAGCTGAAGCCCTCAACTACTGAAAAGCTATTTAGAATCTAGAACTAAGATATGTTACCCAGGCATGCAATTTCTTGGATTTGGCACAAGGTATATTTAGGAAAGACAAAATGAGCAGGCAATACAAATAGGATAACGTTTTAATGAAGAATTTCCTTTTCTTTTGGTTTCAGATTAGAGATCTAAACATGTTCAGTTTGAGAAGGGGAGAGAGGGAGACAACCTCTTATGTCTACACAAGACTAGAGAACTACACCGGAGAAGGCCACCTTCCTACCCCTGCATATACAAACCAGAAATGAGGGACAAGAATGACACACACTAAGGACAAAAAAGAACACAGACTACATTCCTTTGTCTTAGCCAATGGTAAACAGTGGGCTGATGCCATAAATGATTTTAATCTTTTCTAGCACAAGGATGTTTTATTCTGAGGAAAATTCTATAGGCAGTTCAATGGCTACTGCAAAACACAAAAAAACAGAAGGGAGAGATGGTTTCATTGAAAATGTTTTTCTTGATTAAGCTGTAAAAATCTGTCTCTAGGGTAAAGCACACACCAATGGCCAAATAAAAAATGGTATTTTTTCTAACAGGGCATATGATGATCAGATCAATATGATGGCCTATTTTCTTGCTATCTGGCTCTTACACTATTATAAATAGCTGACTGTTTACAAGAATAAACTCTACACCTTCTCCACCCTCACTCAGTGTAATGAATACAAAAACTTAAATAGGCCCTGAATAATTTCAGAAGGCAAGTTATACACAAGAAAAGATAAACTACTAAGGGACTATCATGGCATTTGCTGTCTGAAGCTTAAAATGTTACCTTGATCATTGCATCAGTTTCCACAGAATCTTGGTCTTTCTCATCAGCTTGAGAGTCATCTTCATTTAACTCTTCACTGTATTCAGAATCCAGTGATGCGCCTGTGCTGTGTCTGGGTGTCTTCACTGCCTGGAGTGAATATGGAGTAAGGTGGACTTCCTTATTGTAGGTTCTTGTGAACGCTGCTTTCACCTATAAGAAAGGAACAGAGGGAGTTGGTTAATGATCTAAGTGCCAAACAACCTTTCAAATAGTTTTGCAAGACTCTGCAAGACCCCTGAAGTATTCTGCAAAATATTTATGCAAGTTCATGTAAGTATATGTATATACATTTTTCTATAAAGAAGTCCCATATTTTTCATGACATTCTTAATAGAGCCTATGACTCAAAAAAATAAGAACCAGTATTTGGGAACATTAGGCAGAGAAAAGAAAAAACTGTAACTCATCATTTTTGCCTATTCAGTGCATTCCACAATTCTACAAAGTGAGAAGCAGTGAATCAAATCAAAAAAGACAATAAAGTACAAGTTAAAGTTGGTCTTTAATTACCACAAAATACATAAATTACCATGACAGTGGTTACTTCAAAATACTAGGTAACTTGAAGTCTTAACTTGAAGCTTCTAAACATGACTGTAGAATTACTCCTTGAATTCACACAATGGAGATCTCTTGTGAGAATTAACTCATAACCATAAAGTCAGATCAAAATTTTGGAGAAGGCAAGCCACACGGAATAAATAGGTCTTTTACAACAACAGCACCAAGAAACTGGCACAAGTGTGTAAGGTACTGGATATTACAAATTCATGTTATGTCACTTTGGTTTTTTCATGCTCATTATACAAAAAAAAAAAAAAAAAAAAAAAAAAAAAAAAAAAAAAATAGGGGATACATTATTACATAACAGATTGTTCAACTATGATAAATACTAAATTCATTAGACTGAGAAAAAGTATAAAAATCCTCAGACCATAAACACTTCCTTCTTTTCATAATGTATTACCACCGTCTTATTTACTTTCCCAGGTTTATCTACACCCCCCCCCATAAGGAATATATTTAGATTTGCCTCTGAGATTTCATGTTTTACTTTTCCACTCAGCATAAAGCAATGACAAAACTACAAACTACAAGGTCAAATCCAGAAGTCCATTCTTAATAGTGCATGCAAATAGTATCTTTGGAAAGCATAGGCCATAAGAAGCAAAAGACATTTAAGAAGAAAACAATTAAACCTTTTTAAAGTACCTACAACATCTCTGAAATAGTCCTAGTACAAGCCTGGTAATCACAAAGTGATGGAAAACGAGTGGGTTACACAATTTACCTTGGGATCCAACTTGGAGAAGAGACTAGGTTTGCCTCCCCAGCTGCTAATTTCCATGATATTCTCAAAGTCTTCTTTCATCAAGTAGTATGTGTCCATAAGAGCAATAACATCCTGTACTCCTTCTACCCCTTGGGAGATCAAGGGCTGTACAAGTGCATCCCTTATATGTGACAGATAATCCATGTTTACAGTCCTTTTGCTGGAATAAGTTCTTAAACCAAAACAAAAGAGATACCTATAGTCAATGGCAAACCACCACCAACTCAAGTCATAATGTGCTGGATAGAGTTCAATCCACTTTTAAAAATGCCCAATGTAATGTCTACTATTTACCAGCCGGTATAGGGAAAGCCTAGCACTACACCATCAGGGTAATGGATACACACCAGTGTGCTCAAAGGGAATTTACTACTTATCTCGAATTAGTGAATGAAAAACAAACATAGGTTCTACTTCCAATCTACTCTTAAGGCCTAGGCAACAAAAACATTTCTATGTACTCCTTATAGCCAAAGATTACTCATTCCCAGTTCCAAATCTTAAATGCATCAGTAAAAGGCAGTGAGATTTCCTACCTCAAGTGCCACTGTTACTTCCTATATGAGGGTCTGTAGCACCTTTTTATCTCTGATTATAACATGCAAAATTACATATGAATGTTTCTCTCATATTTCCTCGTACTGTACTTTACTCTGAAATCCTTAGTTCTAGAGCAGGGTTTTCCCCAAACTAAGAAAACTGCAGAAAACGTCCCTGTAGAATCACAAGGTGGTCCACACTGGTGAGGGGAAGGCTTTGGGAGAAAGTCTCTGATTTGCTGAGAACTACAATGTTATCATGAAATGACAGTTTCTCTCTCTCAAATACTGTCACTCAAAGACAGAAAATAGCTGAACAAAACAAAATCTAAATCTTTCCAAGCCAGCTACCACCATCATCAAACCAGACAATTATATGTATGCATACTTCAAACAACAAACCTCAAAAGCTGTTGGGCTTCAGAACCCATAAAAATTTTTAAATTACTAATGGGTCCTGCTCTTGCTTTCAGGTAAACTGGGTCTGAATCACAAGAATCCACAGTTTTCTTGATCAGAAATCTAGAACCCTATCCCACGACAGCTTTACTACCTAGGCAAAGAATCCCAAAAATTCCTATTTTTTTTTTTTAAGTTTATTTATTTTGAGAGAAAGGGAAGGGGCAGAGAAAGGGAATCCCAACGTGGCTCTGTGCTGTCAGAATGGAGCCTGATGTGGGGCTCAGTCTCACGAACCGTGAAATCATGACCTGAGCTGAAATCAAGAGTTGGACACTCAACCAACTGAGCCACCCAGGCGCCCCCAAAAACTCTTATTTTAAATTCACCCATTTCCTCTAGATTCAGTCTTCCATAACCAGGCACACTAGTTAGCTGAAGACAAGTATGAGCCCATAAGCTCCAGTGCCTAAGAAAATCATGAAACCTTTTCCAAAAGTATTTTCTTATATTTGTTACAGTACTGTTACCTTCTACTAGAAATCACAGAAATAACTCTAGAAAAGTCTAAAAAAGTCTAGAAAATTCTAGTATCATCTAATGTTCCTAAATCAAGGGTTCATAAACTCAGAAGTCTGTAATTCCCCTAACATTATTTGTACGTTAGTGCAGTTTGGGGGTAATAAAGATCAAAGAGCTTTCAGATTCTCAAAGGCATGTATAACCCCAATAAGAACTAATAATAAAACTGCACTTCCATTTTTTTTTTTTTTTAATTTTTTTTTTCAACGTTTATTTATTTTTGGGACAGAGAGAGACAGAGCATGAACGGGGGAGGGGCAGAGAAAGAGGGAGACACAGAATCGGAAACAGGCTCCAGGCTCCGAGCCATCAGCCCAGAGCCTGACGCGGGGCTCGAACTCACGGACCGCGAGATCGTGACCTGGCTGAAGTCGGACGCCTAACCGACTGCGCCACCCAGGCGCCCCTGCACTTCCATTTTTAAATTTTTTTTTTCAATGTTTTTTATTTATTTTTGGGACAGAGAGAGACAGAGCATGAACGGGCGAGGGGCAGAGAGAGAGGGAGACACAGAATCGGAAACAGGCTCCAGGCTCTGAGCCATCAGCCCAGAGCCGGACGCGGGGCTTGAACTCACGGACCGCGAGATCATGACCTGGCTGAAGTCGGACGCTTAACCGACTGCGCCACCCAGGCGCCCCTGCACTTCCATTTTTAAAGAGAAACTGAGATCTATCAAAGTTCAATGACTTAACCAAGGTAAATAGAAAGGTCCTAATTTACTTTAAAAATTGTGAAATGCACTGTAGATGTCCTTTGATGATAACAATGTCCTGTATATGATGCATGAAGAAACATTTATTGAGCAATTTTATCTGCTGGATGGGTAGGCCTCAGTTCCTACCACCAGAAATATTTGGTCTAATGGGAGAAGGGGACAAAAAACACAGCCATAAAACAAAATGGAAGTCCAGTGCTCACCACCTACATGAATATGGTGAGGGCACCAAAGACGGACACCCCCAGGGTACAGGGATGCATCACCTTTAAAAAGCAGAGTGCAGGGAGTAGGAAAAGAGCTGACAGCTGGGCCCCTCACTGGATCAATGAGAAGAGCAGTAGGGAAAACAGCACTCTCCAGTTTCTAGAGGCCGCTCACGTCCCTTGGCTCATGGTCCGGTCCCTCTTCCCATCTTCAAAGCCAGCAATGTATCATCTTAAAAATGTCTTTTCTCTCTGACTTGACACTGCTCCATTTCTTTTTTCTTTTGTAAAGACCTTTGTAATTACATTGGACCTGCCCAGATAATTGAGGACAAACTTCCACCTTTTTTTTTGTTTGTTTATTTTTGAGAGAAAGAGTGAGCAGGGGAGGGATGGGAGGGGGAATCCCAAGCAGGCCCCGCATTGCCAGTGCAGAGCCCAACGCTCTGACCTGAGCCAAAATCAAGAGTTGGATGCTCAACCTACTGAGCCACCCAGGTGCCCTGACAAATTTCCCATCTTAAGGGAAGAATAAATTTATATTATTCTAAAGCATTAAGTTTTGGAAATCTGTTATAGCAGAAATAGAAACTAATACAAGAGTGGCAAAAAAAAGACCCATGCCAAGGCTATGAAGAGGGAACACAGAATTTTACAAAACCAGAAGAAAGGAACTATTTCAGCTCAACTTCAAACAAAAGTTAAGAGTGGACCAATACTGGGGCACCTGGGTGGCTTAGTCAATTGGGCATTCCAATCTTGATTTTAGCTCGGGTCCTGATCTTACAATTCCTGAGTTCAAGCTCCATATCGGGCTCTGCGCTGACAGTGCAGACTGCTTGGGATTCTCTCTCTCCTCCCCTCCCCTGCTCCTGTTCTCTCTCTCTCTCTCTCAAAATAAATAAACTTACAAAAAAAGTGGACCCATGTTAATATTCCCTCCAGATATCAGAGAGAGAAATAAGATTGCTCAAGTGGTTCTTCATGGTTACAAATGAATTCCTAAGGTTCACTTAATATTTGTGCGCCTGTACATTTTCCAAGTTTCTAAACTTTAACAAAACAAATAACAAGAATTTTTGAACTTCATTAAACTTCTCCAAACACATTTGTTTTCAGTCATCTGCATGTCTGCCTCCTGTTGTTATATGCTAAACTGTGTCCCCTCTCCTAAAGGACCAGGTCAGTTTCCTACTAGGGAGGTAAAAACTAGTTCATTTATCTAAATAGTCCCCTTTTTCCTATGAAGTTATTTGGGAGCTGAGACGTTACGTATGCCTACTAGTAATAGGCATAGTCAGTAATAAATAGTAGCACTACCTCAGATTTACAGAGCTTTAAAATTTATCTTAAAGTTATGGCACATTTACCATCTGGGTTTAAATTCCAAAGTATCCTTTTAAGTGATAAAACAATTGTTATACTGATTATAGATAATAAAACTCAGGTCCACAAACTGTAAGGAACTTATCCAGGATCATTTATCTAGTTGCAGCAAAATAAACTAAAGCCCAAATCTTGTGCTTATGTTGTCCTAAATACGCACCCTGATAACACATGGCGTAATCATGGAGACATGGAGTAACAGCACTTACCTGAGACCCATGTGCTGTGCTAGGTCCTGTACAATACGATCGTGTTTGCCGGCAGATGAGTGCTTCCCCAACCAGCTTGGGAAGGTAGGAAACTGGGTCATGTACCCCCTCATTAACTCTCCAGGAAGAACACTGGCATAAATGGCCTGAAAAAAAAAAAGTGCAGTCCAAAATCTGATTCAGTACAGAGCTTCCTACACAGCTGCCAGCTTCCAAGGAGTCTCTGGCAAATGAAGCAACGCTGTCCCAGGTACCTAATTCCAGGGCATCACACCCTTCCCCTCTGCCTCTCATCTGTTGGTATGGCAAACTTCTCCCAGAGAAAACAACAGATCGGTCCAAAACACGTTATGGTCCTCAGAGAGACCATCTTGCCAGTTCATTCAGGCTTCTCAACCACTGATCCCAACATACCAGTTACTTCATTGTGTCAATGTCACAGGAAAGACTTTAAGAGGAATAGGATTACCTTTAACATAAACTACTGATAGCACAGGTGGATCAAGACATGGAAAACTGAATAGAGTATCAAGTAAATTGAGAAAAGATTTTTAAAACGGTATCCTTGAATATCTTCTAGATCCAGGGCTCATACTTTTTAAAGTTGGAATTATACATAAATTTTGTATCCTGCTTTATTCCAGTAATAGTCTCTCATAAGCATTTTTTCATATTAAACAATCTTTATAAATAATTTTAAGGACTACATAATGTTCCATCAAGAGTATTTACCATAATTAATCATTCTCCTATTGCCAGACATGGAGATTTTCTCCAATTTCTTACGCTATCAAAACTAATATAATATTTTTGTACATTAAGCTTTTCCTATGTTTCAAATTATTTCTTTAGGATAAAATCTTGAAGGTACAATTATTAGTTTAAAAAATGAACACTTTGGGGCACCCGGGTGGCTCAGTCAGTTAAGGGTCTGACTCTTGATTTTGGCTCAGGTCATGAACTCACAGTTCATGAGATGGAGTCTGGAGTCAGGCTTCACACTACTAGGGTGGATTTTCCCTCCCTCTGCCCGCCCCACCTCTCTTTCTACTTCTCCCTCTGCTCATGCTCTCTCAAAATAAATGAACCTTTAAAAAAATGAACACTTTTAAAACATAAGAGAAGGGATTCTTTATATCCAGAATGAATATTGTTTTATTACTGTTTTCAGATAATGTGTAGGTTGAATTAGGACAAGAGTAAGCCTTCCGGAAGTCCCTTGATTATTATCACTCAGGCCAGTAATACAGTACAAATATGCAAAGCTCAAGAACAAATAACACTCTTAATTATGACAGTCTGCAAAATTCTGTTTTGAGTAGAAGCTACCAACCCAGATAACGTACTGAATATAAAACTGCCTCTTGAGCAAGGATGAAGAAAATCAGAATTCACATATCAGAGGTCCCTGGGTGGCTCAGTCAGTTGAGCGTCCAACTTCAGCTCAGGTCATGATCTCATGGTTCATGAGTTTGAGCCCCGCATCTGGCTCACTGCTGTCAGTGCAGAGCCCACTTCAGCTTCTCTGTCCCCCTCTGTCTCTGCCCCTCCCCCACCTGCACTCTCTCAAAAATAAACAAACGTTAAAAAAAAAAAAAAAGAATTCACATATCAGAAAAGTGGCTGCTGACCTGCTCTGGCTATCCTACTTTAAGTAGGAGCTACTTAGCAACCATCTGGGAGAGCCAAGAATGACAAAAAAGAAATGGGATTCTTAGGGTAAAACAGAGCAAGTAACACTTTTGACTAACATCTTATTTATGACCAGAATCTAATGTTCCTATTTCTACAGGTCCATTTACATAAAAACATTTTGAAACACTGAAAAATAGGGCAATTTTTAAGAAATAGACAATAGTGACCACAGAGTGTTTTAATCTCTAACAGACTGTATTTTTGCCATAAGAGCCATAATGTTTATCTGGTATTTCAAATAGCTACAAGAGCTAAAAGCTATTTCATTCTCTTTAACTAAAGCAGAGTCTGCATTTTAAGGACAGCCCTATGCTTACCTGCGTGGGCAGAAGACTCCAGTTTTGCTTACTCCGGATCTGACGGTCCACGAGGTCACCATCACATATGCTATCTGCTGCTCTGCTTAAAAGCATCAAGTGCTTTTTCATGTCACCCCTGCAGAAATAAACCAGTCTGGATTACAGCACTGTCCATACCTCAGACCCCTCTCTCCCAGGTATCTGGAGGATACAAATTCTACCCCTCACTAGCTCTGAACACTCACCCTGCAGCTACAGGCTTCACATGTACGTAGTTCTCCTGGACAAAGAGGGGTGCTATTGAATAATCATGAAAAAAGAGATCTGACTTGTCCATAAGCGACATATGAGCAGTCTCCTCTCCAGCTGCAAACACTTTCCGGGCAACATCAAATGGGCCCTAAAAAAAGGGAGGGACACACCTAGCAAAATGGCCAATGTCTAAAATACTGACAACATTAAATGCCGGCAAAGATGTGGAGCAACAGGAACTCTCATTTACTGCTGGTAGGGGTGCAAAATGGTGCAGTCACGTGTAAGACAGACTGGCAATCTTTCTGCAACAGTGAATATACTCTTAGTATACCATCCAGCACTTGTGCTCCTTGGTATTCACCCAAATGAATTAAAAACATACTACACAAAAAAACCTGCATGGATCTTTACATCAGCTTTATTCATAACTAAAAATTTGGAGGCAATCCAGATGTCTTTCTGTAAGTGAATAAACTGTGACACATACAGACACTGGAATACTGGAATATTATTCAGCACAAAAATAAGGCCATGAAAAGATATGGAGAAACCTTAAATGCATGTTACTAATTCAAAGAAGCCAATCTGATAAGATTATATACTGTATGATTCCAACTATATGACATTCTGAAAATGATGAAACTACAGAGACAATAACAAGATTAGTGGCTGTCAGGGGTTCGGGGAAGGGATGATGAACAGGCAGAGTATAGAGTATTTTTACGACAGTGACAGTATTCTGTGTGATACTACAATGGTGGATACAAGCTATGATACATTTGTCAAAAGCCATGGAATGTACATCAAAAGTGAAAGAACCCTAATGTAAACTATGGACTTTGGGTAATAATGATGTACCACCACATGTTCAGCTGTAACAAAGGTACCACTCTGGTGGGGCATATTGCCAGTGGGAGAGGTGGTATGAGCCTGAGGGCAGGGGATATAAGGGAAGTCTCTGTACCGTGCGCTAAATTTTGCTATGAACCGTTTAAAACTGCTCCTAAAAAAGTTTATTGATGAAAAAAAAAGAGGGAGAGAGGGGGTTAAAAACACTGCTTAATCATTGCTCTAGCTGTAATAATAAATTCTGACTACTGACTACATGAAATAGAATAATTGATACAGATTTCTAGTTTCAGAGAGGGTATTAAATTATAAACCATTTGAAACAATTATTCTAAACAGTTCCAAAACTTCAAAACATGAAATCTATACATAAGGGACCCTGAAAAGGCCATTTTATAAC